ATTAAATCAACTGTCTAATAAAGTCTGATGAAGTCCATCTACGATTCAATCAAAAAATGTGTGTAAATAGTTTGGGAATGTAACTTCTACTGTTGCTTTGATTAAATATCTTTATCTAAACTTGGTGATGAGAAGACGTGGTCGTGCTGCAGATGTTGTGACATGAACCACATGAATGTTTGTGTCTCCGAGCTACAGAAACTTCAACAAAGTTACTCCTTGTGTGTTCCAGACTTTACAGACAACATCTAAATATATGAACCACATATTGAAACTTGTATGTGAGCTCAGGGTGTCTCAGATGTTTTTAAAGCGCCGAGATGAACCAGAGGAGCCTGGAGCCAATCACAGGACCCTGGTACACCTGTTCACCAGACACCAGGCAACATGGAGACGTGACATGAAGCCACCACAGGTGAATCTTCGGGTTGGGGTAAGAACATGGGAGCGAGGCAGCTTTGACGGAAACTTCACCTTTGCCTTGGACGCGTCGTCTCTGTTCCCCCGGAGCTGCAGCCATATCTGCCGGGAGGTCTTGCTGCCGTGCGGCTGTCCCGTGTGGTCCAGCAGCCCGATGATGGTGAACGTCACTTTGAAAACCTGCTCCACTCGAGGCTTGGCGCACTTCAGCTCCTCTTCCTTCTCCTCCGGGACCGTGAACTCGTCCACGGTGGGACCGTCCTGCTGCTGCTGCGGCTGCTGCTGCTGCTGCCTCCCCGCCGCGGGGAGCCTGCCGCCCGGCTGCTCCGCGCACGCCAGCTCGGTGACTCGTCGCATTCCGAGGAGGGGCCGCGTTGTTGACATTCCGCCTCTCGGTCGGACCGTCGCTCCGGACCGCGACGACTCAAAACTCGGCCCCGCCGGCGACGGTGGGAGCCACCGGCGTTTTCATGGTGTGTTTAACGTGAACTGCGGAGCGACGCGGCGACGTTTTAACGGCGTCTACCGACATGAGCGCGGATGTAGCGCTAGCTTGGTAACGCGGAAGCCCCGAGTGACGTATCCGGAAAGTCCCCGCGATAACGTCATCAAAGCACGACGAGAGTCCACAGATGTTTATCTGCGTCTTTTTTTTTTTTTTTTCAGATCA